AGACACCTGGCCCAGAAGGCAGCAGCCTCTCCATCAAATGTCACCTCTGATGTGCTTCTGAGCGGGCTGGTGGCACCGCAAAGCCCAAAGGCAGGTTTCAGAAGCAAACGCTTTCCTCGGGAAAAAAAAGAATCATGGCAGAATCCATATCACAGTAGCCTAAGGAACAGTAACAAACTTAAGGTAACCAAACGGTTATGCCATTGCTCATGTCAAGGTGGCTGCCGGGTGGGAGGGAGGGGAGGGAATTGGAGGTCAGAGCCAGCCACTGAATACCTACTATGTGCCACGCACTGTTCTCGGCTCTCGGGGTGCAGACATGAACAAAACAAGACAGGGTGCCTATTCTCACGGAACCTGGTGGGGAGAGACAGCAGAACCAAACTCAAGCATGTCAGTGTGAAAGGTCCAAGCGGACAGACACTATGATGAACAGAAAACAAGGTGATGGCGGGCAGCTGGGGCAGCTTCCCTGAGCAAGTGGCCTGCTGGCCGAGACTAAAGATGAGACGAAGCCAGCCATGCAAGGCGTTAGAGGGAGAGCATTCCAGGCAGAGAGGACAGCAGGCGCAAAGGGCCTGTGAAGGCAATGTTTTGTCTGTTCAAGAGAGGCCTGGGTGAGAGGACTGCGGTCGAGGATTCAGGGCGCCAGAGCGGGACAGCCTGGCCCCCAGGGTGAGGGAGACTCTACAGCAAGCGGAGCTGTGCCCCCAGGGGCCTGAAGATCTCCCCCAAGTCCCTTTGCCTTTCAGCGCCTTAGTGTTCATGTGCACCATAGCCATCCTCCCTTCCCAGGCTGCCGCCTCGCGCTGCTGCGAAGGGCTCAGCAGAGACCCGCGCACAGCACGTGTGTAATAACTCGGGCTCCCAGCACTCCTCCTCCCAGTCCCTGGTGCCCAAAAGTCAGCCCACCACCAAAGCCAAGCAGCTGCCGGGTGCAGAGATATTGCAAAACCTGCCCAGGCATCTCCAAAGTATTTTCTTGGCCAAAAAACTAGCAGCGAAGAGGCTGCTTTCTGGAGACGGCGCCGTTCCCCGGACGGTCTGATCGGACTGCTTTCCCTGCCCGTGAGCTCTGTGAGGACCAAGTCCATGTGGCTGCGCCCTGTAACCTCATAGGCTGCCCCTGGCAGGCGGGGGGTCCCAGCACGGGCACCCGCTGACTGACATGTGGAAGCTCACCCCGGTGGCCCCGGGTATGGCCTCTGGAGCCAGACGAGCTCGATGCAAATCGCAGCCCTGCCATCTCCTGGCACCGCATCCCTTCCCTGGGCCTCGCTGCTCCTGTCTGTAAAATGGGGCCGTATTTAGGATTAATGAGTGGATGGATGTGACGTCCTCAGCAGGTGCACAAGGCTGAGGTACAGCATCAGACCTGGGGGGCCTGACTGTTCTTGCTGGTCACTGTCATCGAGGCCAGGTGTCACCACCACGGCTGTGCCATGCCAGCAGGTCAGACCACCCCCAACGAAGTCCCCTGCCCCGGCCCTCCCTCTCCTGCACCCACCCTCACCCCGTGGTCAGCATCTGGAGTGAAGATTTGTTCACTAAGTGAATGAATAAATGACTTTCCTGTGGCCACAGAAGCAGCCCCTTTAGGATAATTAAAGTGACTGCACGCGGGCATTCCAGCCACTTTCGGGCCGACTCCTCCCTCAGCTCCGACAGCAGATGGGCCCTTCTCTTCCTCGTTCTTTTATGTTTACATTGATTGATGTCAGAGAGGAAGGGAGAGGGAGAGAGAAACATCAATGATGAGAGAGAATCACTGATCAGCTGCCTCCTGCACACCGCCCATTGGGGATCCAGCTCGCAACCCGGGCCTATGCCCTTGACCGGAATCAAACCTGGGACCCTTCAGTCCACAGGCCGATGCTCTGTCCACTGAACCAAACCAGCTCTTCCTCATTCTTTGGGAGTCTTGGGGGAGGGGCCGCTGCCTTCCCAGCTTCTCCTTGGGCTCCAGGGAGTTAGGACCTCGTTGCCTCACTGCCTCCCCCTCCCCTCGAAGGGTCCCAGCAGCCCCTTGCTTTCCACCATCTCCATTCCCAGCCTGCCCGCCCTCAGACTGGACGTGGGTGAAGCCATGGTGCCCACAAACCTGTCCTCCCCACGGCGCCAAGGGACACACTGCTGGCCTCCCGCACAGGCTCCCACCGCCCCCAGGGACTCTCACCCCGTCCACCCGCAGCCTCAGACAACGACCCAGGACGTGCTGTCACATCTGGGGACGACCAGACACGCTGGCTGCCCAAGTCCCCCGTGGGGACAGTGCTGGCCGACTGGACAATGTGCTTTCACTGCCACCGGCCTTGCCCTGCTGCGTCCCTGCGCCTGCTCCGACTTGGGTTTTCTGAGGTCACCAAGTAAGCTGCTTGCTGTCCAATCCTTATTCGACAACAAACTACCACAACCCAATCCACGGGACCCAAACTATGACACCCACAATTCTTCCAGCAAAGAACCCCCCACTTGGAATTCTGTCCCATCCTAGCCACGCCGTCTCTCCGGGAATGAGAGCAACACCCGCTAAGCTGTTGCCGCCCCATGTCCAGCTCCCCTACCGTCCTTTCCCGCCTGCAGGTGGAGGGAGGGACGGATATGGACAGGGACACGGATAAATACACTGATGAGTATGCCGGCGTGGGCAAACGTAGGTCCACGGTTGGGAAATAACACAATAGTTAATACATGATAATGCAGGAATAAACCACTGCGTATTCACAACTGTAAGCCTGCTTTTGCCCACCCTGTAGAGATCTAGGTGTACAGTACAGAGTAGGTATATAATCTGAATAGACTCTTCCCTGCTCAAAATGCCTGGGGTTTGCTCCCACGGTCTGTGCCCCCCTTGCTCCCACGGTCTGTGCCCCCCTTGCTCCCGCGGTCTGTGCCCCCCTTGCTCCCGAGGTCTGTGCCCGCCTTGCTCCCGCGGCCGGTCCAGACCTGCACGCCAGGCCTGGCTGCTCCTGCCCCCAGGCTGTGCCCCCACGGCCCCTCTGCCTGGCCCTTTATTTGACCAACTCCTTCCCGTCCAGCTCCTCAGAGATGAGGCTCTAAAGGAGCCGCCGTCTGCTTCTTCTTCACCATCGCACGTTGTGCCTTAGCCCCTGAGATGGTCTTGGGGAGCACTTGTGGAAGGAACGCAGGATGGAATCTGCGCAGGCTGCTGACCCAGCCCATGCAGCCAATGCTCCCTTCATGTCAGGAGGTGAGCCGGGCACCAGGTGGGGAGGCTGTGGGACCTGGGCTGGGCCTGCAGGGCTTCTGCGTCCCCCGACCCTGGGTCTCCTCATTCTTAATTCCAGAGCTCACTGCTGGGGCCGGACTGGCTCCCTTTGGCCTTCCCTCTTCCCAGCTCCCCAGCTGCCCCCCAAAGCCCCAGCTTCTTTCCACAGGGTGTCCTGCCCACCCTGCTGGGGCTGGGGAGGCTCGGCCCAGCGGGGAGCCAGGGGCACTGTGCCGGGTGCCAGGCTCTCCCTCTGTCCCCGCCACATGCTTCCTGGGCTCTCCGCTGGCTTATCTCTGAGGTGGGTGCTCCCAGCTGCCTCCACACCCTGGTGCTCGGCCCCTTCTCCCAGGAAGCCTCCGCCCGGGCACAGGCACCTGCCACTGACCATGGGTGTGAGCCAGGGTCCACCCAGGAGCCACCTCCTGTTCCTCAGGCAGGTCGTCTTCCTGGGCCGGTGGCTCCTGCAGGAGCCCCTTTCCTCCGAGAGAAGCGGGGCCCTCTCCTCTCCAGCAGCCACCCCCCCCGCCCCGCCTCCCTCCAGGCACAGCCATTCTCACTCCGCTGCTAGGATCACAGCAATTGGAGGCAGACAGGCCTGAGTTTAAATCATCACTTAGTCTGGGTCTCCCCGGAAGCAGACTAAGGTAGGAATTCAAGAGTAGGGGCGATCTTGAGGTGCAAAGCACAGGCCTCATGGGGACCCCACCCTGGGGGCGAGGGAGCTGCCTGCCCTCGTGGGTGCAGGTGGGGGAGGCCCCCGGCACTGAGACCTGGACTCTTCCTCCGAGAGAAGCGGGGCCCTCTCCTCTCCAGCAGCCACCCCCCCCGCCCCGCCTCCCTCCAGGCACAGCCATTCTCACTCCGCTGCTAGGATCACAGGAATTGGAGGCAGACAGACCTGAGTTTAAATCATCACTTAGTCTGGGTCTCCCCAGAAGCAGACTGAGGTAGGAATTCAAGAGTAGGGGCGATCTTGAGATGCAAAGCACAAGCCTCATGGGGACCCCACCCTGGGGGCGAGGGAGCTGCCTGCCCTCGTGGGTGCAGGTGGGGGAGGCCCCCGGCACTGAGACCTGGACTCCGGCAGTCGGAGGACCCTGAGCTTCCTGAAAGCTCCCACGTGGGCCGGGCACTGACAGCGCCTGCTCTGGCTGCTCTGCCCGGACTCACTGAGCTGTGTGACCTGAGGCAAGTGACTCCACCTCTCTGAGCCTCACTGTCCTCGTCTGCAAAATGTGGAGCGTACGTTCTGTAGGGGTTGGGGGTCAGCAAGAATAGGAGGTCAGGCGTGAGAAGCCCTTCAGGTGGGCAGGTGGGCAGGGAGCGCATGGAGGGCATCAGAGGCTCAGCGGAGATTCTGCCCCTTAAATTCTAGTCTCACATCGGCTCTTCCCTGTCCTGCCTGGAGCGGGTCCGGGTCTCTTTTTACCTCCCCTCTGCTTTCTGGCGCAGACATGTCCTTTCCAAACGGGTGCCCTGGATTCTGTCTATGTGCCCCCCACAGCGAGGCACTCGGAGCTGCCAGGAGCACCCGCAGCTCAGACAAGTCCTGTCCACCTCACCTCCCTGACCTGGCCAGTCCCCCACAGCACTGGTCTCCCTGGGGCCGGTGGCTGGCCAGGCCGGGACTTAAGCTGCGGTGCGCCCGCCTGTCTTCAGCTCTCCAGCCTCCGTCTGGCTCGCTTAGCATTCCCACCCCGCTGTGAGGGCCGCGGCCGCTGCATGCAGAGGACTTGCTCCGCTCAGACACCAGCCTCAGTTTCCCCATCTGTAGAGCGTGCTGGTGGGAGAACGCAGGGTCAGGGAGAGGTCGGCCTGGCTCGTCTCCCGGGTTCTTCCTCGGAGACGGCCCAGGATCGGCACAGGCCCCGGGGAAGAGGCCACTTACGGGCGGGGTATCTCTCGTGGCGGCAGTCTAAGCGAAGGTCGTCCTCCTCGTCGTGCCGGTCCCCCTTCTCGAACCTGGAGAAAAGGAAGCGAAGGCCTGTGTGAGGAGGAGCACTGTGCACAGCAGCTCCGCACCCGCCCGGGAGGCCCTGCCACCGCCCTGCGAGCGGGGTGTCCGCTTTACTGATGAAGAAACGGAGGCACCGGAGGTGAGGTGACTGATGAGGTGCAACAGCTGAGGAGTCCGAGGAAGGACCAGGATGCAAACCCATGTGCTCGCAAAAGGGTGCCCCGTTACCTGCAGACGGCAAGTGACAAACGAATGCGCATGGTCTGGTTTGTTTAAAACATGCTGCACTGATCTGCAAAAACAACTTGGCTGGCTCTGGCTGTTGCTCAGTGGTTAGAGCGCCGGCTCTTGGACCGAAGGGTCGCAAGTTTGATTCCCAGTCAAGGGCACGTACCTGGGTTGCAAGTTCAATCCCCAGCCCCAGTTGGGTGCATTTGGGAGGCAACCAATCAACGTGTCTCTCTCACGTCAATGTTTCTCTCTCTCTCTTTCTCTCTCTCTCTCCCCCTTCCCTGCCTCACTTCCATTCTCTCTAAAAAGCAACGTTTGTTTAAAACATGCTGCACTGATCTGCAAAAACAACTTGGCTGGCTCTGGCTGTTGCTCAGTGGTTAGAGCGCCGGCTCTTGGACCGAAGGGTCGCAAGTTTGATTCCCAGTCAAGGGCACGTACCTGGGTTGCAGGTTCAATCCCCAGCCCCAGTTGGGTGCATGCAGGAGACAAACAATCAATGTGTCCCTCTCACGTCAATGTTTCTCTCTCTCTCTTTCTCTCTCTCTCCCCCCCTCCCTTCCTCACTTCCATTCTCTCTAAAAAGCAACTGGAAAATATCCTTAGGTGAGGATTAACAACAAAAAATTTATTTAGCTGACTGTTTACCAAAAGCCTAGTGGTGATTAAGCCTAGATAATGAGACGATACGGGGTTAAATCCTGAGCTTCCTTTTTCAACTTCCCTCTCTTTTCTGGTTTGGGGCAATGGACTGATTACTGTGTCGCTGCCTAACTACATGAAAGCACTTCCTAAAGCCACGTCCACATCTACACAGCCCGGCTTCTCCCGCCTCAGTGCTGCTCCCGCGACAGCTGGGAGAGTTTCCCACGCATGGCCTCCTCCTCCTCTGGCAGCTCAAGATCACGGGGTTCCAGAGGGGCCGCCTGAGCCCGTGTGGCAGGGGCTGCAAGCCCCGCGCACAGCTGACAGGGTCAGGGTGGGGGCGGCGGCGGCTCCAGGCCGAGACCCTCACCCCCACCCCACGATGACCGAACTGAGAGTGGGCAGGGCCATAGACCCACACTGCACTCACGCACTCGTAACCCACATGAACCGCAGAGCTCCACGTGGCCCAGCCCAAATGTGCACCCCCTTCGCGACACGCAGCCCGGCCCCCTGAAGACTCCGTGGCAGTCACTGTGTCTCCTAAGAGCACTGAGAGCATCCCGCTCCACCGCTGGCCCAATCCTGACGTCTTCCCCTCCCCTGCCTTTCAGTCCCTTACAGCTGCCCCAAAAGGCCCTCCCCACGGCTCCCTTCCAGGGCCTCCCTGCACTCTCTCCTCTCCTCCACCTCTCGCCTTCTCACGCCACCCCTTCGCTCCACGCTCCACGCCAGGAGTCTCCATCCTCTCCAAGCAAATCCCCCCCATCTGCTGCTTTTTCCTTTTGCCTCTTGTTCCTGCGCAGCCCCGCCCAGAGGCTGGAGGAGACGCGGGGAAGGTGGCGTGACAAGTGAGCAAAGCCAGGAGTGGCCTTATTAAGTGGTCCTCAACCTTCCTAATGCCACGACCCTTTAGTACAGTTCCTCATGTTGTGGTGACCCCCAACCATAAAATTATTTTCGTTGCTACTTCATAACTGTATTTTGCTACTGTTATGAATCGTAATATAAGTATCTGATATGCAGGATGTATTTTCATTGTTACAAATTGAACATAATTAAAGCATAGTGATTAATCACAAAAACAATATGTAATTATATATGTGTTTTCCAATGGTCTTAGGCG